AGTTTTTTCAAAGTGCTTAATAATTTAGAACTACATTAAAAGTCAAACATTTATGACCCCCTACTTCGAAAATTTTAAACGAAAACAGTTTTCAAACTAGGAACGGTTTTGTTCAAAGTGCAAAGTGCTTTGTCAGTTAGTGCTTCATTCAAAATATAAAATTTTTGAATTMAACTTTATTTGAAAGCATTGCTTTGAAAATTTATATAAAAACAGTTGTCAAACTGAGAACARTTTTTCAAAACCTTTGGTTATTGAAGTTTAAAAACAAAATGTGTGGAGTAAAATTTTTGTATGCATTGCTAAAAAATTGTGAAATAGCAACGGGTTTGAAGCTGGGAACAGTTTTTCAAACTGCTTAGTAATTTAGAGCTGTTATTACTTGAACTTGCCCTGACGGCATTACTTTTGAAATTTTTCAATAAAAATATAACAATACGTTTCTGCATATTCAAGTCATCACTCCATTTCGTAATTTGAGCATTTAAATAATATGTATATTGCTTGGTTACTGCTCTTTTAATTCATTTGACTTTTTGTTGCTCAAATAAGTAATATATTTTCTAAAAAAAAAAAAATTCTATAATATTTAATGAAAACACTTTCCAAACTGAGAATGGTTTTTTTAAAGCGCTTGACAATTTACGGCTGTACTCAGAATTCATAATTTGTGACTCAAACTGCAACTAGAGGCATTTCTTGGAATTTTTTAAATGAAAACAGTTTTAAACTGAAAATTTTTTTTCAAAGCGCTTAGCAACATGAAATTTTTAAATCAACAGAGTTTTCAAACTGAGAACAGTTTTTAAAAGTACTTAAAATTTCGAGATACGTGACCTGGTCTACAGAAAGGGAGCTTAGGTGTCAAGAAATCCAAAAAATCAATTTTCACTTTTTAGTTGATTCGGTTGGAAGATGAGATTTTTAACAGCTGTTTCCCAGAAAACTGGTTTTCGCACGTTCGCTCCCTTTTCGTAGACCAGGTCACACATATTGAATAGCGATGCAATATAAGCACGCTTGCTCTAGAAATAAGAACTTAAAAATAAGTTTCAGCATCTCCAAGTCAAGCATCTATTTTGATTTTTTTTTTTTTTTT